GGGTAGGCGTGTCGTAGACTGAGAGAGGAAGGAGGTGAGCACAGAGTAAGCTAAGGAAGGGGAGGCAGTGATGACCACCAGAGGGGTACAACAGGCTACACCCAAGCCTAGCTGTACCTGCCCACCCCCCATGTGTCCTATGTGTCCTCCCCAGACTCCATGGGGGCACACCTATCTCCAGCAGAGGGTGGGCAACCTCCCTGTGTTGCACCCTTTGCCCACCATTTAAGGGCCAAACTAGAACTCACCCCTGCTGGCCTCTGTCCCCAGCGGCCTACATCAAGGCCTACCTGCTAGAGAATGGCGTCTGCATTGCCAAGAAGAAGACCAAAGTTGCTCGCAAGTCCCTGGATCCACTGTATAACCAGGTGCTGCTGTTTCCCGAGAGTCCCCAGGGCAAAGTCCTCCAGGTGAGGGGCGGTGGTGCGCTCTTGTGTGTGTGTGTGTGTGTGTGTGTGAGTGAGAGGAGGGCACCCCTGGCGGAGGTGTCTTTGGAGGGCCTCACCTGGAGGAAATAGCTCACAGTGAAATAGCTCAGTTCACTGTGGCTGAACTGAGCTCCACAACTTACTGTGCAACTTTGAACAAGGGACCCTCGGTCACCTCATCTGTAAAGTGAGGACCCTAATAGTACCTACCTGATAACATTCTGCTGCCAGTGGAATGTGTACTTGTGTGCAGGAAAAGTTCTTGCAGTTTTGCCTACACAAGTGCTCTGCCCATGGCTGCCATTACCGTCATCACCATCACCACCCTCATCACCATCAACAACTTCTGGAGGCCAGGGGCTTGGCGTGGTGCCCAGTGATAAGAAGGGCCTGTTGAGGAATTGCAGTTTTAAGGAGGTAGAAATCGTAGGACTGAGATGGATTAGGCATGGGGGACGATCCAGGTTCTTCTTCTGGGCCTGTGAGTGGCACTGGCGGGGTTTGAACCACTGTGTCTCTTAAACCCTGCAGGTGATCGTGTGGGGGAACTACGGGCGGATGGAGCGGAAGCAGTTCATGGGTGTGGCCCGCGTGCTGCTGGAGGAGCTGGACTTGACCACCCTGGCTGTGGGCTGGTACAAGCTCTTCCCCACCTCCTCCATGGTGGACCCAGCCACAGGCCCCCTGCTCCGGCAGGCATCCCAGTTGTCCCTCGAGAGCACCGTGGGGCCCTGCGGAGAGCGATCTTAGTGCTGGGATGGGGAGGGGTTCCCCAAGATGGCCTGGAGACCACCCAGCCCTGACCTGGGACCCCAGGCCCAGGGGCACATTGAACAGGAGGACGGGGCTCTCCCCCACAGTGGGGAAGCAGAATGGGGAGACCTGCCCCCCTTGGGCCCCTCCTCACCCCTTCTTTGCCTCCTACCCCCTGAGACCTTCCCTCTCCCAACGGGATTGGCTACATTTTTGACTTGGCCGGTTCTTGACCTGGTGGATGTGGCTGCAGTGTGGAGAAAGGAAAGACTGAGGTGGCAGAGCAGACCACTCTCCCGTCCCAGACTCTGTCCAACTTTTCCCCCTTTTTGCCTCCTCGGAAGCTTGCTGCCCAGAGCCAAGTCCAGAACCCAGCCGGCCATCTCCATGGTGCCAATTACCAGCAAGTGTCTTTCCTGCGGCACCCGGTTCAGGCAGCTACTCCTGCCCCAGAGATGAAGGGGCAGCTTTGCAAGGATCCGGAGCTAGCTCCTGGGGGCCCAGAGTCCCCACTTGAAGAGGAGCTTGGGCTTCCCTCTGCCTGCCCGTGGAAGGAGCTTTGCCGCAGCCTGTCCGAGTCCATCTGTCCGTCCCCTCCTGCCTGCCCTTCTTCTGGTGGCTCTAGGAATTGGGGTTCAGCAGGGACCAAAGGAAAGGAGGAGGTACCAGGGGCCTGGCACAGACCCCTAGGTGCCTCACTCCAGGGGTCACAACAAGCTAGTTTGGGAACCATTGGTGGACTGGAAAGAATGTTGTCTGTGGTTCTGGCGGAGGAGCCGTGGAACCTGAGTTTCCAGACCCCAACCCTAGAGAGTGTTCGGAGGGTGCTGTATTGGAGGGGGAGGCTAAGGAAAGTTGGGATTGGGACTGGTGGTGCCAAGATAAGGGTTTCTCAAATTGGAGAACCCCTCCTTGTTAGATGAGGTCGAAGGTTATCTTGTCTACCCCTTCTGCCTCCAGGCCAGGGGTCTGGGGAGGAAAACAGAGCCCCCCATTTTAGTCTTTTTAAACAAACCATCCTATACTAAGGGCAGAACGCACTGCCCCGGCCTCAGTTACCTTGGCTGAAGGAAAGATGGTGATAGGAGAGAAAGAGTGAAGAGACGTGCATGTGAGAACTGGGAGATTCCTTTTCCAGCAGGCCTGGGTAGCTGCCTTCTCAGCCCAGCCCTCCCTGGGGCCTGCGGGAACCCTTTTGCATGCAAGGGAGGATGGAGGCTGGCCCCTCTTGATAGAAGCACATTTCTGCCACCTCCCCTGGGAGGCACCCAGAAGCCTGCCACTCTTTACCTAGTCCCTGCTGTGTAGGGCGTAGTCTGGGTTAGCTAGGTAGAGTTAGTGTTCCAAGCCCTGGGGCCCATTCTTAGCTCATGCATAGTCCTTGCCAAGTCCCAGGACAGGGGTGGAGAGGAGACTCACGTACATTCCAGGAGACCACTGTCTCCTCGCTGGCCTGGGCCTAGGTGGGGCAGCCTGGCTCACGGGAGGCCAGCCTCTCCTCCTCCTCCCCCTTCCTCCCCTTCTCCCCTGTAGGGTTATAGCTGGAGCTGCCTGTTATACTCAGATGTTCTGATTTATTATTCTTGGTACTGACTTTCTTTATGAGGCACTCCTGAGGGTTGTAGGACCTTGGCAGAGGGGGCCTGGTCTCCATTGGAGGGTGTCATTTTCCCCTGAGGACACCCAGGCTGCCTTTGGTCCCACCCCCTTTCTGGTCCTGGTCCTAATCCTGGCCCCTGTCCCACCAGGTGACTCCTTCTACCTGGAAATTCTTCCCTTCCCTTAGCCTATGTAAGCCCTGGGTATCCTTTAAAGTTCTGGTCGATGTATGTCACCTCCACAGAGCTGCTTACCCTGTACTGGGAAGTGGAGATGGAGATGCCCCCTTACCCAGGAGGTCTTCAGAGCTTCCTGGGATTGTGACGGGTGGAATCCCAAGGTTGGGGATGGAAGGAGCAGGGCTCTGGAGGGACTGGCATTCAAGGCGCAGAATCAGCCTCTCGCCTATTTGTTTTTTTAACCAGTGTGATTTCTCTGCTATTCGTTTATTATTCACCACTGGAATATTTTGAGCCAGGAGAGCACCTTCTCTCTCCAGCCATCGTCGCTGTGGTGGTTCAGGGGTAGCTCTTCAAAAACAGGGCAGACTCTGGCTGTCTCAACCAGAGGGAGCAGGGGCTTGGCCCTGACAGCCTGAGCCCTTCCCCTGGTGTCTGCACAGCCTTCATAAAGAGAGAGAGAGCTCCGAAGCAATAACAACACCTGGGGGTGGTCAATGAGAGCCCCCTCAATGATTTTCTTGTTTGTTCTGTGAAATCTCGCTCACCTCCTGGAGGGGTGGAGCAGCTGGGGGCTGGAGCCCTGTTTCTTTGTATCATCGTGAGCATGTGCCCCCTTCCCAGGGGCTGTGACCATTGGGTGTGGGAACCACGGTCTGTCCTCACCAAGGGATGGGGGTTTGGGGAGGGGAGTGACGTTTTCATCATTAGCTTTGGAGAAGCTTCAAGCCCATCCTGTCCCCACTGCTGCCTGGCCCCTTGCTGACTCAGGCTGTACTGTTTGAAGAGGAGCAGAGAGGGTGGCACTGGGGGCCCTTAGGGGGCTGTGGCCTCCAGGGAGTGACTTCAATCCCTGGGCCAAGATCACACGCAGGATACCACGGGAAGGAGCCATCTCCACTTTCCTTCTCTAGAACCCCCTTTGCATAGTAAAGGGGAAGGGCCTTTGGGACCATTAGTCCATTTCCATTTTACAGACAAATCAAGACCCAGCTTGGGGGAAAAGCCACCCCTGGAATCACCTGTGTGTTCAGTGGCATCCCCAGCCTGGGCCCCCTCCTCCCAACAGAGGCTGAGCCGGAGCCAGGGCAGTGTGAGGTGGGGCCCACACCTCCTTCTCCCTTCTTTTTTTGAAGCCTACTGGCCCCCAAAAGATGGGCAGGACAAGTTGTAGCCCATCTGAGAAGTTGGGAAACCGAGGCCCAGAAACAGGAAGTGACTCACACAAGACCCCTCAGCAAGGGCACAAAGGGGGAAAAACAAGGGGCTCCACTGTGCTTCAGGCGACAGGAGATGTTGCTCCAGGGTGTGTCTGCTGGGACAAGGATTCCTGGCCTCTATGCGCTGGCTGCACAGCCCTGCTGGGCTCCATCTCTATAAGCCAGTGACTTCTCTGGGCCTGGGTAGGGGGAAGAGGTTGCCAGGGAGACAGCTATCCTGGGGGGCTGGCTCAGCTGACTGAGGTTACACAGGATGGGGTCTGGACCTTGATGCCTGGGTGGAGGTTCCTGCTAAGGGGCCATAGCCTCTGCAGGACCAACTGGAGAGAGTTAGGAAACAGCAGCTCCTGCCTGGGGCAGTGAGCGAATGGGAGCAGCTGTGGGCGCCTCATTTTAGGGAAGTCCTCCCCAAACCTTCAGATGCAGTGAGACCTGGCCTTCCTGTTGTGCTTTGCAGACTTGGTTTTCAGAATGCTTTTACCTCGAGTGCGCCCTTTGGCCCTCACAAGAGCCACTGGGGAGTAGGTGTGGCCTGTGCCATCATCCCTGATTCAGAGCAGGCAGCTGAGGTCCTGGGAGGGAAGGTGCTTGCCTCAGGTCCCACTGTGTTAGCGGGTGGGCAGCACTGGAGCTTGGTTCTCCAGCAGCCCAGAGTTCACTCTTTTACACTCAGAGATGGAGCCGATATCTTAGGGGGTGGTTGTGCACTTCACAAGCCAATTCAAGATCCAGTTCCTTCAGCCAGGAGCTCCTGGGTGCATCTCCATGTCAGAAACAGCACCGAAGCTCACCCCCTCTGGAGGCACAGCTGTTGCGTCAGGCAAGGTCACCTGCATTTATTTATTGAGCAGCAGTGCTGTGTCAGGCCCTGGGATGGAGTCCCCTCCCCATTCCCCCATGGTGACTCCAAGGCCCTCTGGGAGGGCCCCACGTCTGTGGAGCAGCACCTCAGTGTGGATGGAAAGCATTCACGTCCGCGAGCTCACCCGATGCCAAGCCTGTGAGGTGGGCTGATGGTGCCCGTCTAACCCAGCACTTCTGTGAGGTCAGAGTGGAGCCAAACCCAGGGCTGTGGCATCACCCCTGGAGCCCTTTCACTCTCTGACTGCCTCCTGGGCGAGTGGCGGGAAGGCAGGACCCAGGTCCTCAGGCTGGGAGCCTCTCCATCCACCCACCTTTCCCTCATTCCTTCTCTTAAAGCAGGAGCCAACCAGGCCTTTAGGGAGGGAGGGTTTCTGGGGCCCCTGGGTTGGAGTGGGGTCACGTTGCATTGTGTTCATGACCATGTAGCTCATGTTAAAAATTAAAGTTTTTGGCTTTTCTAACCTGGCTCACTCATGCTTTTTGTTGAGACAGTCCTATCTGGGAAGCCAAGGGAAGGGGGTGTTTGGAGGGGCTGAGTGCCACAGGGTGCCAGGATGCCACACCTCAGGCTTTGTCTCTGCCCCCTTATGGTGCAGGGACCTGCTCCAGAAAGTCCTGTTAGAGATGCACAACAGGGAGCAGGGTTCTGGATGAACCCAGTTGTTCTACAGATGTGGAAACTGAGGTCCTGGGATGGGATGCAATTCTCCAAGGTCACATTGCTGGTGATTGATGTGACGCAGAAGAGAGCTCATCCCATGGCATTCTGCTGTGTCCAGGTGGGCCCAGTGACATGGTGGGTGGTGACAGCAAGGCCTTCCTCATCCTGAAGTGGGGCTGGCCACAAAGAGCATCAGCCATATGGGGAAAAGAGGCCATCATTCACACATGGGCTGATTCTACTCTACACACTGGGCAGGGAACGAGAGATCGTTTAAGAAGTGCAGAGACTGACCCACTTGTCCACACTGGACTGTACACTGTCCCATTTGGTCCACCTTTGTTCCCCATGCTTCTTGTAGGGTAAGCATCTGACCTCACTAATTCCAGCGAAGATTCCAGTGTTGCAAGTTGCACATTTCAACTGCGACTCAGAAAACCAGCCTCTTCACAACAGAAAAGTTGCTCTAAAGGGCCTTTCTAGAGCAAGGCTCTGGCATACACCTGTGCAGAGCCTCGCCCAGGTGCTGATGTGGCCACTCCCTCATGCAATTTGGATTACAAGGAGTTTGCTGCAACAGGGTGACCCTCGAGCCTGGTTTGTGCTTATGATGTGACTGTAATATATTTTTGGAGAGGAGGGAGGGGACTTGGCCACAGAAGGTAATGAGAAATTTTGTGTAGCTGAAGACTGTCCGGAGGCCCCTCATATGTCTCCAATCCCTGGAGAGGGTGCCTGGATAGCCGAAGCCAGACCCTCTCGTTTCAGATTCAACCCAACCCGGGTGGGGTTGTCAGATGGATTTCCGCTGGGCCCCAGGCCTGGGTGCCTGCCTGCCGCGCACGACCCCCGTGCTCGAGGAGGGTGAGAAGCCCAGGTTGTGGCGGACGCACTTCTCCAGCTGGTGCACGTGGCAGGAGACAGAAGCGGGGCCGCTGGAGCCTGCCGGGCGGCGGGGCAATGAGGGGCCGCGGCTCTCGAGCGCCCCCTGGTGGCGCGGGCTGGGGCCGCAGGCCGCGTGCTCGGACCCATCGGAGCTGGCAGCAAGGAAACGCAGGACCACGAGGTTGAGGAAGGCGCCAATAACCGCGAGCCCCAGGAGGATATAGAGGAAGCTGAAGGCCACGTAGGGGGGCTTCCTCTGCAGCGCCTCGCTGCTCTGCAGCGCCACGAAGTCGCCGAAGCCGATGGTGGTGAGGGTGATGAAGCAGTAGTAGTAGGCGTGGAAGAAGGCCCAGCCCTCGAAGTGCGCGAAGGCGACGGCCCCGAGGGCCAGGGTGGTGGCGCACGCCAGCAGCCAGACCACCACCAGGTTCTCTGTGGACGCGCGGCCGCCGCAGGCCCAGGCAGCGCTTGGCCGCCAGCAGGAGGCACAGCACCACCGCGTTCAGCCGCTCGCCCAGGCTCTGGAAGGTGACCAGCGTCAGGGGGGTGCCCAGGAGCGCCTAGAACATGCAGAAACCCTTGCCGGAGTCTGTGCCCGGCGCGGCGTGGCTGTACCCTGTGCAGGGAGAGCAGAGGGGAGGGCTGGTGAGCTCAGCTCCAGCTGACTGCAGTCCCTCCCCACCCCCGGGGCTGGCTGCGCACCTGCAAATACTAGTCCTAACCAGGTCATTCCCCAGCTCTAAAACGTGGCGTGGTTATTCATCTTCACCCCAAACCGCAGACAACCAAAGTGTCCCTCGACTAGGGAATGGATAAACAACCTGTGGCGCATCCAAACACTGGAATTCTTTTCAGCAAACTGAATGAACTCCTGTAACCTTGCGGCAACCAAGGATGGATCTCAGATGTCTCCAGCTGAGCGGAGGAAGGCAAGCTCGAAAGCCTACAGACCGCATGGTTCCATGTGAATGACAATCTGGAAGTGGCAAAACTGTGGCGACAGAGAACAGATCTGTGGTTGGTTGCCAGTAGCTGGGGTTGGAGGTGGGCTTAACTACAGAAGGCATGGAAGAATTTTGGGGGTCGATGGCAATGTTCTGTCTTGGTCGCGGCTGCAGTTACACGACAGGTATTCATTTGTCAGAACTCACAGGCGTGTGCACAGGAAAACGGGGAGTTCTACTGTATGTAAATTATGCCTTGAGGAAAAAAAGAAGCAAAACTTTCCACACTTTCCAGCTACACCCCGAGCTGTTTCCCCAACCAGCATGTCCCCTCCACATGCCTTTTCTCCTGCCTTTTCCCCTGGACTACCTCTCCCAGCTTCGGCCTCTCCCTCCACTGCTCAGCCTGCCCTCACTTAAACACCTTTTGGTTCTGATTGTCTGGTGTGGCAATTCTTCACGGGGTCCCCTCAACTACTGCAGGGAATTTAAACATGACTGAGCATCCTTGAGTCCTGGAACAGTGCTATGGCAGGGGAATGAATGGGCATCTCATTGTGTGTCTTTTCCTGGAAAGAGGAGCAGTCACTTTCATGGTACTCTCAAAGGAGCCCATACCCCAGGAACAGTCAGGTGGATCTTCCCAAAAAGAATGTGCCTCCTCTAAGACATTGACCCTACCTGCCAAAAAGTACAAAATACAAATCCTTTGACCAAGGTAGTTCCGCAGTGAGGAAGTTAGCCCTTCAGTATACACACATGCGTAAAAATGTGTGCATGTGGGTCATCATTGCAACACTGTCGGTCATAGTGAAAATGAGAAACACGGTAAGTGTCCATCGAAAGGGACCTGGTTAAATAAACTACAGTGCCATCCAAACCATGGGATCCTACGCAGTAGCAGTTCTCAATCAAGAGTGGTTTTGCCCTTAAGGGGACATTTGGTAACATCTGGAGACATTCTGGCTGTCACAAATGAGGGTGGGGAGTGGGGATGGCTCTGTGAGGTTGGCATCTAGAAAGGAGAGGCCAGGGACACTGCTAAACACCTTGCAGTGCACAGGACAGTCCCCACTGCCCCAAATGTCAACAGTTCCAAGGCTGAGAAACCCTACAAACAAGATGACGCAGCTCCTTAGAGACTGACATAAAAACATCGCCAACATATATTGAGCAAAAAAAGAAAGAGACAAAACTGTGTGTATAATGTCTACACAATATGTGCGTGTGTTTTAAAGGAATATATAGGCAAAGAATTTATCTAGAAGGACACACACAAAACTGGTAACTATATTTAACCCGAGAAGATTTTATGGGCTGAGAGACAGGGTGGGAGGGAGACTTCCTTTTCATTCCATGCCCCTTTGTACCCTGTGAAATGTGTGCTGTGTGCATATATAACTTATTCAAAATCTCAGCACTACAAACATTTAAAGGCCTGTGGCTCCACTTCCGCATTTCTGTTGCATAGCCCTATCACGTTGCCTCTCTGTTATTTGGGAGAAAGGGGATCTGCTCATCACTCGGCTTTGAGATCTCTAGGGTAGGGACTGTGGTGGTCACCTCTCTATAGTCCCCATCACCAGGGTCCTGCCCCAAGCCTGACATAGACTAGAAGCTCAATGCAAGTTTCTTGAATCAAGCCAAGTTGAAGGGGGCGCTAGTGAGAAACAGAGGAGCCTCTTTAGAAATAAGAGGCTTCCATCTGTTTGGGGCTGTGCCAAGTTTTGGCAGAGAGTGAAATGAAGAATGGTAATAATGATAATGACAGGAGCTAATCCATGTAGGTGCCGTGCATGGATTATCAGGCTTAACCCTCCCAATGACTATATGACATGTTATTATTCCCATTTTATAGATAAGAAAACTAGATTAAAAGGGCCAAAACTGCCCAAAGGCCACAGGCCTGAGCTTCAGTGCCTCTCTCCCATCCAAGCAAAGCCCAAATTCCTGAGCCCTGGCACCGGGCTCTCTGAAAGGCTGGTTTAGCAGACTGGACCACAGTAGGTGGTGGTGCCCCCAAGTGGCCAGAAAAGGCAAAATTTCTCTTGTTTCCACTTAAGTCTCTTACCTCAGCCTCCCAGATGTACCTCAGAGGTGAAGAATCGGGATAAGAGGCCAAACCCACCTGGTAAGCCTCCAAAGAATGTGGAAAAAGGCAGAGAGAACAGGTTGATGGCATCCCAAACCAATGGGCACAGTAACTAGGAGGGTCTCAGGCTTTACCAAGATAGGGAAGCAGGGGTGTCCATGTGGACAGGAGGGAGAAAACAGCTGAATAAGAACTGCGGCCATGTTGACAAATAATGAATTATTACTACTAACGAATAGTGCCTACTTGGCCTCAGGCAGTGTGCCAAGCATGTTACATGCTTGGCCTCACTGAAACCTGGCAACCACTCAATGAGGTTGGAACAATTGCATTTTGCCTTTGGGGAAACCAGGGCTTGAACAGTTAAAAATCAATTGCCAGAGAAGGCAGGTGGCAATAGAGACGAGACCAGAACTCCAATCTCTCATTGCAGAACTCATGCTTTTAACTCCACTGCAAAACCCACAGCTCACATTCACTTGCAAGAGTATTATTGGAGAAACTTTGTCCAAGGCACTGGCTTTCAGGCTGGTGGTCCAAGCCCTAGATGGGGTGCCTGGACGCTCACAGCTGGAGCCTGGGGAGTGCCTGACACCAAGCTTAGAGCCCTGCAGAGCCCGCTTCTCTCCTTCCTGTTCCCCCAGACTTAGGCTCAGCAGGTACCAGCCAGATGGTAGTCATGGCAGCAGCTGGTGGTCCCGATGCGGCAGAGGAACTGCTCTGCATCCCTGAGGGCAAGGTCCCGAGCCTGTGGTTATTCGTCATTCCTTTAACAAGTATTGATTGAGCATCTATTGCACCCTAGGCACTGGTCATACAGCAGTGACTAAGACAAACTAGGTCCCCATTCTCATGGGGTAACAATAACAATTATAATAGAGGGGTGGCGGGGTGGGGGGGAACAACTGTAATAATCAAAAATCGATCTTTGTAGTGCTCTGTATGTGTCATGTTTTAGCACAGGCCCTGTGCTAAAACTTTCTGCATAGTTGGCCTCCTGGAGGGTGCAAATACCGCAACCCTAAGATAAGGCCCATTAGCCACACTGTTTTTACAGAGGAGAAAACTATGGTTCAGAGAGGTTGAGCAACTTGTCTAAGGTCACACAGCAAGTGTGATGCAACCAGGCAAGGAAAAGCAACTCCAGCCACTTGGTCTCCCAGCCAGTCCCCCTTCATCTGTCTCCAGGCCCCTGGGACGTTTTCCGAGCACTCCCGGCTCAGCCTCTTGGCAAACTCGATTTACTGATTCCTCTGGTCCCTGCCTGCGTGGGCTGACAGCTCCATTCAGCAGAGCGAGGCGAAGGAGACTAGGGAGGCTCGGTGGACCGAAATGACCCGTCCGAAGTAGCTCAGCTGGGCGGGGGCAGAGGTGGGACCGAAACCCAGAGGCACCCCAGGCGGCTGGGGCTGGAGCAGACATGGAGGGAGGCTCCGGGCGGCTCACCGAGGGTAGTGATGACGGTGATGGCGAAGTAGAAAGAGCCAGCGAACTTCCACTGGCGGCGGCGCGGTGGGGCTCGGCCTAGCGCCAGGCGCTCCAGCTCGCGGTAGTCCTCCGCCGAGAAGCCGAACTTCCTCCGCAGCGCGCCCAGCTTCTGGACCAGGAGCCGGGGCCTCGGACTCGAGCGCGTCGAAGACGGCGGCGCCCACCAGCAGGTAGCACCGGGTGCACAGGACCAGCCCGGCCGCGCGCACTCTCGGCCTCCGCATGGTGCCCTGGCCCCGGTACCCGCCCGGCCCCGACCTGCTCCGTGCCCGGACCGCGCGCTCCGCCCCCTCCATCCCCGGCCTACGCGGCAAGGGTGTGACGGGCGGGGTGGGGCGGCTGCGGGGCACCTGGAGGCTGGGATCGCCACGGTGGGGGCCCGGAGAACCGCTCCCCTGTCCGCCTTCCACGCGCCTGCCCGGGGTTCATGTGTCTGCAACCAGTGACATCTGAAGCAAAGGCCCAAATCCCGGGCTTGCGGAAGTCCTGTCCCACCACTAACTCATGCTGTGACCTGTGCCAGTCATCCTTTCTTCCTCACTCCATCCCTCCCTCCCTCCTTTCCCCCTTCCTCCCCCTTCCTTCCCTTCCTTTCTCTCTCCTTCCTTCCCTCCCTTCCTTTCCTTTCTTTCTCTCTCTCCCCTTCCTTCCTTCCCTCCCTCCCTCTTCCTCCCTTCTTTTCCTTCTTCCCTCCCTTCTTTCCTCCCTTCCTCCCTCCTTTCCCTTCCTTTTCTTCCCTCTCCCTTCTTTCTCCCTTCCTTCTCCTCTTCCCTTCCTTCTTCCCTCTCCTCCCCTCCTCTTCCCTTCCCTCAAATATTTACCAAGCACCTACCGGTGCAAACATTACTATTGCAAATGAAGGTGATACCCTAGTAAGGAGGGCCGGCTAAGAAACAAACAAACAGTTATTTTAAGGTAAGAGTGATACAGAAGGAAAGAGGATCATTCCTTAGGAAGGTGAACCCAGCACCTAAGGTGGTGGGGAAATCGCCCAGGAGTGACTGGGGGAGAGATTCCAGGCAGTAAGTGCAACTTTCTGCTTAAAAGCAGAACTGAGCATGGCTTGGCGTGGCAGCCAGAACAGCAGGGAAGCCAGTGCTGCTGGAGCCCAGAGAACTGGGGTGCGGAAACTTTGGGGGAGCAGAAGACAAAGAGGCAACTTCACACAATGTCTTTCTTACAAGCCCTTATGTGGGTCTATTGAAAGCCATGGAAAGGCTGTATTACAAACACAGGTGCACACATACACGCAACAACACAGTGATCTGATTCATATTTTTTAAAAGAGCCTCTGGCTGTCATGGGGAAAAGGGATGGTGGCTAAGAGTGGAGTCCAGTTCAAAGGCCAGTGTCTCCCAGTGTGTGAAGATGGAGAGAGACGAGGGGATCTGGGATGTTCTGGGAGGTGGAGCAGGACACACAGCTGGCCACATTGCCCAGTCTTTCTACACTTAGCGGAGTCTATGTGACCAAGCCTTAGCTCATGGAACATGGGCAGAAATGATGTGTGCACTTCCAGGCCTGGCCCATAAAACCCTGTGCCACCTGTGCTCCATCTCCCCCCTGACACCAGCAGGCTGAATGTGGAGACAAAAGCCTGGGCTGAATGACACATTACAGGGTCACCCCCATCCCCAATCAGGAGCCCTGGTTTTGAGCTTCTGTTAAGTTGCTGACGTATGCTAAGCCCCTGAGGACTGCAGCTCCCCAGGTCGTGATCCTTGCAGACTAGGCCCTCCAAGTCCCAGAGGAGGCCATACTTCCATATAGAAGCCTCTAGAAAGGAAGTCCTGCCAACACCTCGATTTGAGCCAAGTGAGACCTGTGTAGCCCTCCACCCTACAGAACTAGAAGATAATACGTTTGTGTTAAGCCACTAAGTTTGTAATAACTTATTGCAGCAGCAACAGGGAACTCACAGTGGGTGTGGGGATTAAATGAACCAATAGATGTGGAGCCAGATAGCTGCCCTTGGCCCTGAGGATTTGTTTAGAAGTGTGAGCCACTGTTACAGATATCACAAGTGAGCAGACGCCTGGCCTATGGGCTGTCTGACCCAGTGCCTGCCTGACTCAGTTCCCAGGCAGAATGGGGCCCCAGTGCCTGGTAGAGAGGATCTTGGACCCCTTCTTCTCCCGAGAAGCAGGATGAATCTCAGTGGCCCAGAAGCAAGTGTTGGTGCCATTACCTCAGCCTGATTTTTAGCAACAGCATCAGCTGAGTTTGATATTCCGATTTCTGCTCAGACTTCAGAGGAGCAGAAACCTGGGCTAACGTCCCAGAGTTGGGGTGGGTGGGACACTGAGGACTTACAGCCCAGCAAGAGCCTGAGAAGAACCTGTGGAGACAGGGGGATGCAGGCAGTGGCTGTTCTTAGCAGAAGGGCAGGGCCCACTCAGGGGAAAGTTAATGAGGACCTGGTTGTGGACACAGCTGGAGTCAATAAGACCCGGGTTTGAAGTCCAGCTCCTCCACTCACTCACTATCACGAGGACGGCATGAGGAAAACCGCCCCCATGATTCAATCACATCCCACCAGGTCCTTCCTTCAACACGCAGGGATTACAATCCGGATGCCATTTAGGCGGGGACAGAGAGCCAAACCATATTACTGGGTGCCCACAAACAGAACACTTGTACTTTCTGTGCCTCAATTTTCCCATCTGAGAAACGGCGGTAGTAATGACACTCACCCCACAGGACCATGCTGAGGATTATAAAAGCTGTTTTGTGCTGCTATCCAGGTGCCCCTTATCCAGTAGCTGCTTCTCCTCCCTCTTTACAACTGTGTGCAGATGTCGAGTCTTTTTCCAGAAGCAGGGGCAGGGCTAAACTCTGCCCGTGCTAGGCATAGTCACAGACATCACTCATGGGACCCTCACCTTACAGCCCAGGACACAGAGGCACACAGAAGATACTTAAGCTGCCAAGTCCTCAGCCAGGCTGTGGCTGAGCCACGATTGAGCTCAGGGCTGTCTGGCTCCCCAGGTCATGATCCTCGTCAGGCCAGATGCTGCTGGCTTTATCCCACTCTCATCGCCTCTGTGGTCCTCACTTTCCTTGTCCCCGTGCTGAGGCTGAGGATCTGTGGCTGGCTGTGCTCCCCCACTCTTGTGAGGGTCCCGCGATGGGCAGCTGAGAGGCGCTTGGTCAGGTGTGCCCACTGGGGGCGGGTGTTTTGGGGCCACAGGGGAGCTGTCTGGCCCCATCAGGCAGGTGACTCTGCCCTGTGCTTGGCATTTTTGGTTCAGTGGCTCTATTTTAAGCCAGAGGAGGTTAGACTTTGTGTATGTGTGTTTCTCAGGTTGGAAAGCCGTCAGCTGAGCAGTCACCAAAAACAGCAACACCCGAGGCACCTCCCCCTTCAACTTACCCCCTCTGCCTCCTCCCCCCCTTCCTCCTTTGCAGACCTGAGGGAACCCAGTGATTTTCCTCTGTCCCATCGCGCCAGAGGCACACCCGCGTCCCTCAACGGGGCCTTGGATTTTCTTCTTTCAGAGCTACAAGGTTGTCAGCTTTGAGGACGACAAAAAAGGTAATTCCAGTCCCAGGCTGGGCGCTGGGCATGCTTCTAAGTACTTGGAAGTCTAGACCTTTCTGAAGCCTTTGTGAGCCAGGCAGGCCATTCCCGTCTCAGGGAGAGGAAAACTGAGGGGCGAGAGAAAGAGGACTCACCTAAGGCCGTACAGGGTAGGGCAGTGGCAAGAAAGAACATGGGTGTCATGTTAGCCAGTCCTTGGTTCTGTCTTGGGCAAACGACTTCACCTCTCTGAGCCTGTTTCCTTGTGTGACCTGGGGCTAGGAATGTCTGCCTGACAGTATTCCCGTGAGGATTAAATATAGTGTGTGAAGAACTGCTCAGCACAGAGTATGCCCAGCAAATGTTAGTGCTGCCCTCCACCCAATTAATTTCTTCTTTGCCGTTTTCCACACTGCCTGTTCCTTAGGGCTACTGGGATCTTAAGAGGTTGATTTTTTATAGTTAGGCTATAGCCTAGTAATTTTCCAGAAAGCCAGAGGACCGGGCAGCTTCCCTAGTAAGATTTCTCTCCTGTCTCTCTCCTAAAAGAATGGACTATTTTAACCTCCAGGGACAGTAGGTGCCAGCTCCTTAGAGGTGGCAGTTGTGGCCTTTCTGTAGCATGATTATCATTGAGGGATCTGGTTTACAAGAAATTAAACACTGTCTCTTGGTAATTTAAGCAACATTACTGGTAGGAATTTGGGGTCTCTCATAATTTTCTGGGCATTGAAAGACAAACCATGTGACTTGGGGGACCCAGGGAGCTAAAACCTTGAGTAGAAAAACACCATAGCCACACCCAGTGGGGGCACCATTGCTCCCAGGCAGGTGAAGATATTATTTGGGGGACAAATGACAACTGTCTGAACAAGACTCTGTCTCTGACGGGTGTCAGGCAAGGCTGCTCAGAGGAGTCCCTACCCGTGTTTGTGACCATTTAGTTGGAGTCATTGAGAGTTTGTTCTTCAGCCTTGTAAGGATCCATATCTTTGAGTTAATGGAGTTATTAAAGCCCTTACTCTGGGCCAGGTGCGGTGGCTCATGCCTATAATCACAGCAGTTTGGGAGGCTGAGGTGGGCAGATCACTTGAACCCAGGAGTTCGAGACCAGCCTGGGTCACATGATGAAACCTTGTCTCTATAAAAAATACAAAAAAATTAGCCTGGCATGGTGGTGCATGCCTGTAGTCCCAGCTACTCGGGAGGCTGAGGTGGGAGGATCACTTGAGCCTGGGCAGGTTGAGGCTGCAGTGAGTCATGATCACGTCACCGGAGCCTGGGGAGGCTGGTGCATCAGCCACTGCACCTCGGCCTGGGTGACAGAGTGAGACTCGGTCTCAAAAACACAAAAACAAAAAGCCTTTACTGTGGTTTGTTTTAGATTTGAAAATCTAAGTGATAGGAGTGTGGAGGTTTGCTAAGCCATTCTCTCTACTTTCATGTATATTTGAGAATTTTCACAATAAAACACTTTTTAAAAGAACCTTTTCTCTCTGCCCATCCCACCCTATTTTTTCCCCTGCTGTTTATTTGGTCTGAGTGGGAGGTTACTCTGTTACAGTAAATAAGAACATTGACTGAGTAGCTAGTATGATCCAAGCACAAAGCAGGTCTCACTTTATTCAGTCCTCAGACCGACAGTAGGCTCTGCTAATTCCACCCTGTAGATGAGGACACTGAGGCTCAGAAGGATGCAGTGAT